GCCTGGGACTCTGTCGCCATCAGGCGCATCCTTGTTCTCCCAGCCTCCGCCAGCCCCAGCCTCCGCCAGCCCCAGTCTCAGCACCCTTTTGTCCTTTGGGACCAGATCTCCCTGCTGCTGTCCCCCCACCCCCACATCCCCTAACCTGGGGAAGCCAGGGACCAAGGGCAGAGGCCAGAGCCCCAGTCAGGGATGGTGAGGGCAGGGTTGGGTGGGCGGGACCCTGGGTGGTCCTCTGTCTCTGGCTAGGGCAGGCAGGGACATCTGTGGGCAGAGGCCACAGGCATATGGCCAGAGAGGCCTTGCAGCCTCAGTTTCTAAATGGGTCTTTGGGATCTTCCAGGATGGGGCTGGGGCCCAGAGAGGTCAGATTCAGGTGGCTTTGGGTCCCCTGTGGTCCCACCTGGTCCTGTCTCCTTGGGAAGGAAGGGCCTTTAAAATGCACAGCGAGAAACCTGGGGCTGGGGGAGGGCTGGCATCACTGTGGCCTCCAAGGACTCTCCCAGGCACCTGGCCCTGGCAGGGAGCCAGGGTCCAGAACACTCCCTACCCAGGGCGCCTGCGGTCAGCTGGGTGGGACCACTTGGACCAGGCCTACAGCCCCAGGCCACCTGGGTACAGCTCCCAGCTCCAGGCTTCAGGTCCCCAGGGTGTCAGCCCTGGGGGTTCTTGGCAGTAAGGAGCCCACCCCCACACCAGGGGCTGGGAGCAGAGGCTGGTATTGTGGCCCCAGCATCCGACAGGGACGTCCAGGCTACAGGAAGGGCTTGTGGGGGCACCTGGAAAGCATACCCACCCCAGGAGCAGCCCCCACTGCTAGTCTGGGTCACCCTGACCTCTCTGGGCCCTGCCCCATCCTGATGCCCCCCAGAGCTGGTTCTGCTGGGTCCTACAAAAGGTTCTTGGCCTCGGAGCCAAGTGGGTAGGGATCCTTGCCCCAGACCCTGCCTGGCTTGCACCTGGGTCTGGGACCAGCTGGGACTGGAGGCATGCCCCTGGCTGTCCCAGGAAAGGTCTTAGGTTTCAGAGCTGGGCCCTGGGGCCTGGGCCGGGCAGGCAGAGGTGTTGCCTGTGTGTTCCATGCTGCGAAGGGGGAGGTCGTCTTGTGGAAGGTGGGAGCCTACCACCTCACATCCCGCTGACTCTCCTCCTAAGCACAGCACGTTGGTCTCCCCGTTCGTGAGTGTGGCCTTCTCAGCTAGAGCCGGCAGCCCTGGGACCTCAGGCTGCACCTGGAGGAGGGGCCAGATCCTGTCACTAAGTCCCTGGGTGGGAGGTGGCACTGCCTCCCCGCACTTACCGTGGCAACACTGCCCTTAGGCCTCCCCTGTTCCCCCTGGTCACAGCAGGAGTTGGGGACAGGAGGAGGGTTCAGGGTTGCATGGACATCCAGGGGGTCCCTGGGCTGGTTTTGAGGGGCAGGGGTTGGGCTGCCTTGCAGGCTTGGGAGGGGGTGCACTCAGGTGGGGCTGAGCCCATGCTGCTGGCCTGTAACCAGATGCCCTCCCGCCCCACTGCCAACCAGGCCTCTCCACCTCCTCCCAGCAGCTCATGCGTGCCAGGCTGTTGCTATAGCGATGGGGGAGGCGGCCATGGCCTGTTGCTGCAGCTACAGCAACAGAGGTGCCCGGTGGGGGGGCGGGTGTGGGCAGGGCTGTCGCTGTGGCTGTGACCCCGGCCTCTAGCGCCTGCCTTCGCACGCAGCCACCCCCACCCGCGTGCTTTTGGCTGGCACCTGCTCGAGCAGCCTCATGGGTGCCTGTGATGACCCCTGGACCAGCCCTGGGCTCCAGCTTGACTTGGGAGGAGTGGAGGCTGGCACGGGCTGGGGCGGGTGGGTTTGGGGCCACAGAGTGCCATTGTCAGCACCAGTAAACAGAGCAGCTGCCCTGTTCTGGCACAGGCCAGCCCTGAGCCAGACAGGGACGCCTCGGTGCTGAGTGTCTGAAGTCTGCTTTGCTGTGGGGTGGGGGAGAAGGGACTCTGGTCCCTGCGGGCAGATCCATGTGGGGGGAGCCGTGCCTGGAGAGCTGGTGGTGAGGCCGGAAGAAGGCCTCCTGCCTACCAGACTTGGCTGAGCCTGGCTGGGAGGTCTTGGCATTTCTCTTGGCACTCAGAGTAGGTCCCACCAGGGCTCATGGTGGTGCCCAGCCCCGGGCAGCAGATGCCTCCAGGAAAACCTGTGACAGGGGCTTGGTTCTGAGGCCAGGGACCCGCCAGGTTGCCACTCCCACCTGAGCTGGCCTGTGTTTGGGGCAGGAGCCAGGGCTTTTGGTTTCGGGGCCTGGGGATGTTCCTGGTGGCTCACCGTCAGGGCCCATCTCGCCGGCCTCCTGGGTAGGGCCTGGGTGGTGCTGGCTGATCCCAGGAGTGTGGGAGCTGTCGGTGGGGGCAGAGAGCAAACGTGACTTAAATGGGCCCCAAGATCCTGACAGGGCAGCCCTTCCAGGTTGAGCTGGGGGAAGACGAGCTGGTAGACACGTAGGTCAGAGGGGACCACAGGCTGACGACTGTCTGCTGGCAGTCGGAGCCTGCTTCTCGTAGGCCGGGAAACGCTTGCCTTCTTGGTGGCTGGGGAGGGGCTGGCCTGACCTTCCATGGCCCCGGTGAGCACATGGGCTGGCCCTGTTGGCAGGGGTCTGTCTTCAGGGGAGAGAGCTGCCTGGCAGGGCGGGGAGGGCTCCTGGGTGGGGTCTCACGTGGCTGCCCTTCACAGTGGGTCCTGGCCTTTGAGATCTTCATCCCTCTGGTCCTCTTCTTCATCCTGCTGGGGCTGCGACAGAAGAAACCCACCATCTCTGTGAAGGAAGGTGAGGGTCCGGGCCGGGACGCGGCTGGGGCTGGGCGGGCGTCCTCACCACGTCAGGCACGCGTGTCCTGGGCGTGTGTGTCTGCACGCATGTGCCCGCCTGTCCCCGTGTGTGGTTCCCGGGAAGCAGTCCGCATGCCCGCTCTCATGTGTATCCTGGGCCTGCCTTCTGGCCCTGCGGCTGGGCTCCGAGAAGGATGTGGCTGGGCCACGAGTGCCCACGGGTGCTCGTTCCCGGCAGGGCTCGGGCACTCACTGGTCTCCTCTGTTCTGTCTCGGCCCCGCCCCGCCCACGCATGGTCTCTGCCCTCCTACTCCTCCATCATGGCCGCATGCAGTCTGTAAGTGAGCAGCCGCTTCTTCCAGGCTGGCCCCCAGGCGGCAGCAGCCGGATGGCCCCGGTGGGGTCCTCCTGGTGCGGCTTGAGCACCCCTCCCTGCTTGCATTAACCACCTCTCCCAGGCCTGGCAGGGGGCGGGGGGAGTTGTAGGCCCCTCTGTGCTGTCAGGGGCAGCTGGCTCAAGCCTGGGGCAGTGAGTATGGAAGGGTCAGGTGCTGGGCCACAGCTGGGCCAGGTCAGGCTGCTGGGGTATCTCTCGTTCTCCTGGGGTTTCCTGACCGTGCACTTTACAGGTCAGATGTGTGGGCTAGCCTGGGGCTGGGGCCCGGCTAACCTAGGACTGAGGCTGGGCTAGACTGGCTTCTCTCTCTTGACACCCTTGGGGGCTGTTGCACTCATACTGCTAACTTGCTGACCAGAGACGTCAGAGGTCACTGCCCGGTGGGGTCCCTGTGGCTCCCCCCTGGGCTCTGTGGGCAAGGCCTCACCCTTGTGTTTCAAGGTGTTTTAGGTCTGTGTGGTTGAGGGTCGACAGTGTCCTGAGGGGGCTAGTGAGTGGCTGCTTGACCTCTGGAGTCGCTGGTCCAGATGCTTGGCCTGAGGCACAGCTGGGGCCCGGCTGCTGCCCGCTGTCTTCTGCCTCCAGCTGCTTCTCCTTTCTGACTTTGTCCACGTTTCTCCTCTCGGCCTCTGTCTCCCTGTCCTCTCGGTTGCTCTCCCCTGGCCCCTCTGGGCCCTCTCACCCGCCCGCCCACCCCTGCAGCCTTCTACACGGCCGCGCCCCTCACCTCTGCGGGCATCCTTCCCGTCATGCAGTCACTGTGTCCTGATGGCCAGCGGGACGAGTTTGGCTTCCTGCAGTACACCAACTCCACGTGAGTGTCCCCTCTGCCGAAGCCCCGCCCCCCTGCCCCTGGGCCCCTGGTGACATCCATCGCGGTTCAGGGTCACACAGCTTCTGGAGCGGCTCAGCCGGGTGGTGGAGGAGGGTAACCTGTTCGACCCGGAGCGGCCCAGCCTGGGCTCGGAGCTCGAGGCCCTGCGGCTGCACCTGGAGGCCCTGACTACCAGCCCGGGCACCTGGGAGCACGATGTGGACAGCCCTGCAGGTACACGGGGGCCTGGAGGGCAGGCGGGTGGCCAGGCCCGGCTCCGTGGGCCCTGCCTCCCGTCCACCTGGCCCTTGGTTCCCACGCCACGGGCACTGCTGAGCCCTGTGCTGAGGGCCCCTCAGCGTGCCAGCAGGGTGCAGCTGGCCCTCACCCTTCCTCTTCTCTGTCCAGTGTCTGCCTTCTCTCTGGACTCGGTGGCCAGGGACCCGCAGGAGCTCTGGCGCTTCCTGACACAGAACTTGTCACTGCCTAACAGCACAGCACAGGCCCTCCTGGACGCCAGGGTGGACGTGCCTGAGGTGAAGGGCTGCCCCACTAGCCTGGGTGGCCTGCACCCATGGGAGCGGCTCCCAGCCGTGGCCACTGAGCTCTGCCTGCACCATAGCTCCTGGTGGTGATGGTGGTGGGGGGTCAAGGGCAGCTGAGCCACCCTGCCGGGCTCAGAGGGGCTCTCAGGGCCAGGCTCTCCAGTCCCCCCAGCCTGAGTCATGCCCCCTTCCCCCGGCCCCCAGGTCAATCGTCTGCTCTTTGGCCCTTCACCTGCCCTGCATGTGAGTTCCAGCCTCCCCCAGGAGCAGGAGCCCTGGAGCCGTCTGGGTGGCAGTCCCCTGCTGCAGTCTGAGGTGAGGAAGGACGGCTGGCAAGCATGCCTCCTGCCTCTGAGCAGGGGTTTCTTCCCAGCTGGGGTCCCTCCGGAGTGAAGGCAGACACTGGGGAGTCTGCAGTGGCACGTGGATGTGGGAGCTCTGAGCTGCAGACTTCTCAGGCCCACACCTGGGCAGAGCTGGGGGCGAGGCCATCTCGGGCAAGCTTTTGGTCTTTTCTTGGTTCAGGGTGGGTGCTCCTTCCTAAAGACCCTGCCCTTGGCCCCATGGTTGTCCTGTCCTCCCAGGAACTGCTGCTGGCCCCTGCCCTCCTAGAGCGTCTCACATGTACTCAGGGCTCTGGGGGGCTGGGCCGCATCCTCAGGGCACGAGCGGGCCAGGAGAGCGCGCTGCAGGCCTACCGGGCTGCTGTCTGTGGTGGGCAGGCCACCTCCCGGGCCCGCCGCTTCTCCGGGCTGGCCGCTGAGCTCCGGAACCAGCTGGACACGGCCAAGATCGCCCAGCAGGTGAGACCCTGCCGGCCAACTGGACAGCAGGGCCGAGGGCCAGGTGGGGGAATGCTGCCAGTGCCCCAGGGAGAGCCAGGGCCTGAGGCTGAGGGCAGCCGCATCTGTCATCCAGTGGCCAACTCCCCCCACGTTGCAACCCGTGCCCCCCCCCCCGTGCCCTCACCCCATCACTGTCCCCCACCCCTCTCACCCAGGCTGCAGACCCTCAGCCCCTCTTCCAGCTTTGTCCTCTGCTGCTGCCCAGTTCAACTTCCCGGCCTCAGCTACCCCACCCGCAAATCCCTCCCCCAGGCACCCCTCCCTGGGGCCACAGCTCCTCACGTGGCCGTTTTTCCCCAGTTGGGCCTGGATGTGGCCAACGGCTCAGACCCCCAGCAGCAGCCACCAGCCCCGCGGCGGCTGCAGGCGCTGCTGGAGGACCTGCTGGACGCACAGAAGTTTCTTCGGGACGTGGACGTCCTCTCAGCCCTGGCCCTGCTGCTGCCCCAGGGTGCCTGTGCGGGCCGGGCCCCCGCGCCCCCCGCCAGCGGTTCTGGCGGTCCGGCCAACGCCACTGGGCCGGGCGTGGGGGCCAACGCCACAGTGGAGGAGGGCGGTCCGCCGGCTGCAGCCCCAGCCTCCGTGGACGCGCTGCAGGGCCAGTGCGCGGCCTTTGTGCAGCTCTGGGCCGGCTTGCAGCCCATCCTATGTGGCAACAACCGGTAGGTGGGTGGGGAGGTAGGTGAGTGGAGGGGTAGGTGGGTGGTGGGTAGGTGGATGAGGGGGTAGGTGGGGGGCCGACCCCGCCTTGTTCCCCGTTGCTGAGGCAATGCCCCTCCCCCAGTACCTGCAATCCCGCCCCAATCTCCATTCCACATCGAAGCCCCCCACACTCCTGACACCCAGCGAATCCACACGCGAGGTCCCAGCCCTGACGCCCCAGCCACTGGAAGCCCCACTTCACCCAGCCCTGATGCCCTGCCCGTCACTGAAGTCCTGACCCCCACTCCTGGTGTACCACCCTACTTCAACCCTTCGTGTCCTCCTGGAACCGAGACGCCCCGCACCAGTTCTCCAGGCTCTGAGTCCTGCTCCACGCCGCCGCGGTCCGGGGTGCCTCCCCAGTCCACGCCCCGCCGAGGCCCCTGACGCCCCGCCGAGGCCCCTTACACCCCGCCCACTCCGCAGCACCATTGAGCCCGAGGCGCTGCGGCGGGGCAACATGAGCTCGCTAGGCTTCACGAGCAAGGAGCAGCGGAATCTGGGCCTCCTGGTGCATCTAATGACCAGCAACCCCAAGATCCTGTACGCGCCCGCGGGCTCCGAGGCCGACCGTGTCATCCTGAAGGTGCGCGGGGCTGGTGCGCGGGGCTGGCGCACGCAGTGCGCAGGCTGCGTCCTTTCTGTCAGGAGCAGACAGGGCATCAGAGCAGTTGGCATGTGGGGGCACAGCTTCACGGGGGACATGGGCCCTAGAGCTCCGCAGGTGGCTATCCTGGGGGAGGGTCCCAGCTGCAAGGGTACCTGGTGGGTTTCATCCTTGGGGGTCTCCCCTGGGAAAGTACTGGAGCAACTAGCCTTTGGCCGGGCCCAGTGCTGTGACCAGGGCCTGGGCAGTACGGGTGGGGCTGGAGGTGGAGGCGTGTCCCGGTGGCAGTACTTGGCACAGGACCCAGTGGGGGATGATGTCCGCCTGGCAGCTGGGCACATCAGAGGGGAGGAAGCTTTACTTGAGTTGGTTGGGAGCCTGCTGAGTGGGGAAGGCACAGCCCGGGCAGGGAAATAGGACACCTCGTCTGGAACTAGCAGAAATTAGGGCTGCAAACTGGCCTGGCAGGGGTCAGCCTGTGGGTGGGAGAGTTGAGGGCTGATTAAGGGGGTGTGGAGAAGGGGCCTCCCAGAGGCTTTGTGAGGTAGGATGGGAACAGGGACACGCACTGTTCACGAGCCCTGGATAGAGCAGGTTCAAGGTGGGCGGGGGCAGCGGAAGGTTCTGGAAGGCTGGGGGTGGGGAGGGATGCCATTGTCCAGCTGGGGTGTGGCCGCTGGTGGATGGTCGGGAGGAGCCATTTAGCTGGGCAGCCATGAGGGGTGGGCACAGAACGCCATGCTTCCATAAGTCCCACTCCAGTTCCCGCACCGTCCACAGGCCAACGAGACCTTTGCCTTCGTGGGCAACGTGACCCACTACGCCCAGGTCTGGCTCAACATCTCCTCAGAGATCCGCAGCTTCCTGCAGCAGGGCCGGCTGCAGCAGCACCTGCACTGGCTGCAGCAGGTGCCGCGGGGCTGGGGCAGGGGCTGTGGGGGGCAGGGGGCAGCCCCACTTCGGGGGAGCGGCTGGCACCCCCCACCGTCTCAGCTGCCCCTGCACCCCTAGTACGTGGCGGAGCTGCGACTGCACCCCGAAGCGCTGAACCTGTCCCTGGAGGAGCTGCCCCCGGCCCTGCGTCAGGACAACTTCTCGCTGCCCAACGGCTCTGCCCTCCTGCAGCAGCTTGACACCATCGACAACGCAGCCTGTGGATGGATCCAGTTCATGTCCAAGGTGGGGCGCGGGGTCGGTGGGGGGGGCGGCACCCCGGGGCCGTGCTCCTGTGCCAGGTGTGCCCAGCCGCGGTGCTCTCCCCAGGTGAGCGTGGACATCTTCAAAGGCTTCCCAGATGAGGAGAGCATCGTGAATTACACGCTGAACCAGGCCTACCAGGACAACGTCACAGTGTTCGCCAGTGAGCCGCGGGCCCCACCCACCCTCCGCCCCGGCGCCCAACCCTTTGCCCCCCCAGCCCCGACCCAGGCCCCATCCCTGCTCCCCAGCCCGACCCCCACGACCCACCCGGCCTCGGGTCCCCAGGTGTTATTTTCCAGACTCGGAAGGACGGCTCCCTCCCGCCCCACGTCCACTATAAGATCCGCCAGAACTCCAGCTTCACAGAGAAAACCAACGAGATCCGTCGGGCTTACTGGCGGCCGGGGCCCAACACGGGGGGCCGCTTCTACTTCCTGTACGGCTTCGTGTGGATCCAGGGTGAGGGCCCGGCTTGGGACTGGTGGCGGTGTGGGACTGCGGGCAGGCTGGGCCCTGAAGCTGACTCCGCCCGCAGACATGATGGAGCGCGCCATCATCGACACCTTCGTGGGGCACGACGTGGTGGAACCGGGCAACTATGTGCAAATGTTCCCATATCCCTGCTACACGCGTGATGAGTGAGCGGCGGGAGAGTGGGCCCCAGGCGGGCTCTGGGCTGCGCGTGATGTGCTGACACCCTGCGCCCTGGCACCCTTACACCCTGGCTCCCTGCATCCTGACGCCCTAACGCCATGACGTCCTGGTGCCCTGACACCCTGGCTCCTTGACACCCTGCGTCCTGACATCCTGACACCCTGACACACTGTGCTCTGATGCCTTGATACCCTGCACCCTGAAGCCCTGCACCCCGGCGCCCTGTGCCCTGCACCCTGGTGCCCTGCCCCCTGACACTCTGCACTCTGGCGCCCTGACGCCCTCCCCCTCCTCCAGCTTCCTGTTTGTCATTGAGCACATGATGCCACTGTGCATGGTGATCTCCTGGGTCTACTCTGTGGCCATGACCATCCAACACATAGTGGCCGAGAAGGAGCACCGGCTGAAGGAGGTAGGGGAGGGGCAGGGAGAGAGCGGCCCTGCAGACCTCAGCTTCGGCTGCATTGCCGCCTCTGCCCTCCCGCCCACAGGTGATGAAGACCATGGGCCTGAACAATGCGGTGCACTGGGTGGCCTGGTTCATCACGGGCTTCGTGCAGTTGTCCATCTCGGTGACGGCCCTCACGGCTATCCTCAAGTATGGCCAGGTGCTTATGCACAGCGACGTTTTCATCATCTGGCTCTTCCTGGCCGTCTATGCCGTGGCCACCATCATGTTCTGGTGAGCGCCTGTGGCCAGCTCGGGATCGGGGAGCTGCAGGGCGGCACCTGTGGGGAAGCTGTTGAGGCGGGTGCGGCTCACCGCCCTGTGGCCCCCAGCTTCCTGGTGTCGGTGCTATACTCCAAAGCCAAGCTGGCCTCAGCCTGCGGCGGCATCGTCTACTTTCTGAGCTACGTGCCTTACATGTACGTGGCAATCCGCGAGGAGGTGGCCCATGACAAGATCACGGCCTTCGAGAAGTGCATTGCGGTGAGGGTCGCGGGAGGCCGGGAGGGCTGGGCGGCGTGCCCACCCCCACCCCGACCTGCGCACTGACGCTGCTGTCTCCTCAGTCCCTCATGTCCACAACAGCCTTTGGCCTGGGCTCCAAGTACTTTGCCCTCTATGAGGTGGCAGGTGTGGGTATCCAGTGGCACACGTTCAGCCAGTCACCCGTGGAAGGGGACGACTTTAACCTGCTGCTGGCCGTCACCATGCTGGTGGTGGACGCGGCCGTCTATGGTGTGCTGACCTGGTACATTGAGGCTGTGCACCCAGGTACATCCTGAAGGAGGGGAGACGTGGGGTGTGGCCGGGATGGGTGCACACCCCCCTCTGGGGGACTGCCCACCCTCAGACCCTGGGTCAGCTTCCCTCCACCCTGGCCCCCAGGCATGTATGGGCTGCCTCGGCCCTGGTACTTCCCACTGCAGAAGTCTTACTGGCTGGGCAGTGGGCGGACAGAGGCCTGGGAGTGGAGCTGGCCATGGGCGCACGCCCCCCGCCTCAGCGTCATGGAGGAAGACCAGGCCTGTGCCATGGAGAGCCGGCGCTTTGGTGAGGCGCTGGGCACTAGGAGAGCTGGGCTTGGGGGCGAGGTGACACGGGGCATCCTCAGTCCTGCCCCCTGGCCCTACTGACCCCAACCCTGTGCAGAGGAGATGCGGGGCATGGAAGAGGAGCCCACCCACCTGCCTCTGGTGGTCTGTGTGGACAAGCTGACCAAGGTGTACAAGAACGACAAGAAGCTGGCCTTGAACAAGCTAAGCCTGAACCTGTATGAGAACCAGGTCGTCTCCTTCCTGGGCCACAACGGAGCCGGCAAGACCACCACCATGTGAGTGCCCCTGGGGTGACATGCCGCGGGGTGGGCCCGCCTGTGTGACGGCTGGTGCTGAGCCTGCCCACGTCCCAGGTCTATCCTGACCGGCCTGTTCCCGCCCACATCGGGCTCGGCCACCATCTATGGGCGTGACATCCGCACGGAGATGGACGAGATCCGCAAGAACCTGGGCATGTGTCCACAGCACAACGTGCTCTTTGACCGCCTCACGGTGGAAGAACACCTGTGGTTCTACTCGCGGCTCAAGAGCATGGCGCACGAGGAGATACGCAAGGAGACAGACAAGTGGGCGGGGCGCGGCCGGGACGAGAGAGGGGCGGGAGTGGGCGGGGCTGCGAGGGATGCAGGAGGGGTGGGCGTGGCCGTGAGGGGTGACGCAAGGGTGGGAGTGGGCGTGGCCGCAGGCAGGGCGGAGCAGGCAGGTGGCTTGGGGCTGGAGGTGGCTGCGGGGTGCCTGGACCGTGGGGCGAGTGCGCCCCCAGGTCCCCTCCCCCAAGGCCTTCCTGCCCCGCCAGGATGATCGAAGACTTGGAACTCTCCAACAAGCGCCGCTCGCTCGTGCAGACTCTGTCGGGCGGCATGAAGCGCAAGCTTTCGGTGGCCATCGCTTTCGTGGGTGGGTCCCGCGCTATCATCCTGGACGAGCCTACGGCCGGCGTGGACCCCTATGCACGCCGTGCTATCTGGGACCTCATCCTGAAGTACAAGCCGGGTGAGCGCCCGGCCCTGGGCTGGGGGTGGGGCCGGCCGACAGGGGGCGTGGCCTTCGGAGCCTGCCCCGCCCTCTGACCCTGGACCCGCCTTTTCCCAGGCCGCACCATCCTGCTGTCCACGCACCACATGGACGAGGCTGACCTGCTCGGGGATCGCATTGCTATCATCTCCCATGGCAAGCTCAAGTGCTGTGGCTCCCCTCTTTTCCTCAAGGGTGCCTATGGCGACGGGTACCGTCTGACGCTGGTCAAGAGGCCCGCTGAGCCCGGAGGCCCCCAAGGTCTGTGCCCATGAGTATAATGGATGCCCCTTGGGGCCTGGCTCACCCTCTCCCCTGGCCCTCATCCTGACTAGGCAGGTCAGCGCTGAGTGAAGCCTCTCTCCTCCAGAGTCAGGGATGGCATCCAGCCCCTCGGGCCAGGCCTCGCTCCGCAGCTGTTCTGAGCCCCAGGTCTCCCAGTTCATTCGAAAGTACGTGGCCTCCTGCCTGCTGGTGTCGGACACCAGCACCGAACTCTCCTACATTCTGCCCAGCGAGGCCGCCAAGAAGGGGGCTTTTGAGCGCCTCTTCCAGGTGGGGGCCAGTGGGCACAGGGAGGACTGCGGCAGGCCCTGTGTCCTGCCCCCCTCACTCTGCCCCTCCACAGCACCTGGAACACAGTCTGGACCAGCTGCACCTGAGCAGCTTCGGGCTGATGGACACAACGTTGGAGGAGGTGTTTCTCAAGGTGTCTGAGGAAGACCAGTCCTTGGAGAACAGCGAGGCTGGTGAGGGGTCCCTGGGGCCCATGCCCTGGAGCCCACTGCCCCAGCTCACCCCCTCACTCCTCCTCTGCCCCAGGGACTGGGGGCTGCGGCTCCTCAGGGTCAGCCTGGGGCCTGAGGGTCCTGGTGAGTGGGTGGGGATGAGGGCCAGGCTCCCCAGGGCTAGAGGGCAGGCAGCCCTGGGCCTGCCCTCCCTCCCTGCCTCCTTCCTCCCTCTGATGCTCTCCTTCCCTGACGCACTCTTCTGGCCAGATGTGAAGGAGTCTGGGAAGGACATGACACCAGGGGCAGAGGCCCCGGTGCCTGGGGAGGCTCCTGCTGGCAACCTGACCCGGTGCTCAGAGCTGGCCGAGTCGCAGGCATCGCTGCAGTCTGTTTCCTCGGTGGGCTCTGCCCGTGACAACGAGGGCGCTGGCTATGCTGAGGTCTATGGGGACTACCGTCCCCTCTTTGACAACCCGCAGGACCCCGACAACGTCAGCCTGCAAGGTGGGGCAGCTGGGTAGGACCAGGGTGGGCGCACAGAGGGCACATGGGGCCATCCGCTCAGCTCCTGCCTCCTGTGCAGAGGCCGAGGCAGAGGCCCTCACACGCGTTGGCCAGGGCAGCCGGAAGCTGGACGGCTGGTGGCTGCGGATCCGCCAGTTCCACGGGCTCCTGGTGAAGCGGTTCCACTGTGCCCGCCGGAACTCCAAGGCGCTCTGCTCCCAGATCCTGCTGCCCGCCTTCTTCGTCTGTGTGGCCATGACGGTGGCCCTCTCTGTGCCGGAGATTGGTACGGCCACCTGACGGGCTGAGGGGGACCCAGAGGTGTGGCCTGGATCCTGCACCACGTACAGGGACCCACCTTGCCCACTCTGGGCTTCGGTGCTGCGATCGGAGGCTGTTGGGCACGCTGGGGGCTCTTTGGGTGCTGAGATGAGGGGACTTAGGCCTGGGCCCACTGGCAGGTGCTCTGGGCGGCTAAGGTCTTCCTGCTTCCCTGCCAGGTGACCTGCCCCCGCTGGTCCTCTCCCCGTCCCAGTACCACAACTACACCCAGCCCCGCGGCAACTTCATCCCGTACGCCAATGAGGAGCGATGGGAGTACCGGTGAGAAGGCCCAGCCGTGGGTGGGAGGGCAGGAGGGGCAGGAGGGGCAGCACCCACTCACGGCTGCCATCTTGCAGACTGCGGCTGTCGCCGGATGCCAGCCCCCAGCAGCTCGTGAGCACCTTCCGGCTGCCGTCGGGGGTCGGTGCCACCTGCGTGCTCAAGTCCCCTGCCAACGGCTCCCTGGGGCCCACGATGAACCTGAGCAGTGGCGAGTCTCGCGTGCTGGCTGCCCGCTTCTTTGACAGCATGTGCCTGGAGTCTTTCACGCAGGGCTTGCCCCTGTCCAACTTTGTGCCACCCCCACCCTCCCCTGCCCCGTCCGACTCCCCTGTGTCCCTGGAAGAGGACCTGCCACAGACCTGGAACGTCTCCCTGTCGCCCACCTCCATGTCAGGTGCCGCCAGGGGTGAGCCGGCGAGAGGCTAGGCTGGAGTATAGGAGGGACGAGGGCGAGGAGGGGTGGGGCAGGGGTAGAGAGGGTGCGGGGCGTAGGGGGGCACAGCATGGCGTAGGAGGGGTGGGGTGTGAGGGGGCACGGGAGGGGGTGGGGGATGGGCTCAGAGGCAAGGTGGGGCAGGTGCACAGCATGGTATAGGAGGGGTGGGGCGTGGGAGGGGGCAGGACCTGCTGATCTGCGCTGTGCCCCCAGAGATGTGGACCTCGGTCCCCTCCCTGCCCCGCCTGGTACGGGAGCCTGTCCGCTGTAGCTGCTCCATGCAGGGCACTGGCTTCTCCTGTCCCAGCGGCGTGGGTGGGCACCCGCCACAGATGCGGGTCGTCACAGGTGACATCCTGACCGACATCACTGGCCACAACGTCTCTGAGTACCTGCTGTTCACCTCAGACCGCTTCCGGCTACACCGGTGAGCACAGCGAGGGGCACTGCCTTTTGGGGTGGCCGGCAGCACGGCAGTGGCCGCCGGGTCTCACTGAGCCCACCTGCCTCCTTAGGTATGGAGCCATCACCTTTGGGAACGTGCAGAAGTCCATCCCGATCTCGTTTGGCGCTCGGGCCCCACCCATGGTGCGGAAGATCGCAGTGCGCAGGGCAGCCCAGGTAAGCACCCCTTGCAGCGTCCGCAGTGACCCCGATGCCTGCGGGGCCTTTCTGTATCCTCTTCTCTTTCTCCAGGTGTTCTACAACAACAAGGGTTACCACAGCATGCCCACCTACCTCAACAGCCTGAACAACGCCATCCTGCGCGCCAACCTGCCTAAGAGCAAGGGCAACCCAGCGGCCTATGGTGAGGGCTGGGGTCGGGGCTGGGCTGTGGAGTTGGACAGAGTCCTTGCGGCAGCAGGGCCTGAGTCTGCCCTTTCCTGTGCCGCAGGCATCACTGTCACCAACCACCCCATGAACAAGACTAGTGCCAGTCTCTCTCTGGATTACCTGTACGTGCTGGGGAGTTGTTGCTGGCAGGGCTGTAGGAAGAGGGGCTTGGGGGGGGACCGTGCGCGTGGGGCGGGGCCGCGTGGGGCGCAGCTCAGGCTGTTTGGGTCTCCCCCACCCCAGGCTGCAGGGCACAGACGTGGTCATCGCCATCTTCATCATTGTGGCCATGTCCTTCGTGCCGGCCAGCTTTGTGGTCTTCCTGGTGGCTGAGAAGTCCACCAAGGCCAAACACCTGCAGTTCGTCAGTGGCTGCAACCCTGTCATCTACTGGCTGGCCAACTACGTGTGGGACATGGTGCGGCCGGCCCCTCTCTCCAGGCCCCCACCCCATACCCTGCCACTAGCACCAGCTCTGGTCCCCGGAGCTCCATCCACTCCCAGCTCAGTCGTGGCCTCAGCCACCAAGCAGGCTCTGTGCTTGCCATGCCTGTCTTGTGGCGTTGCCCTTCTCCCTCTCTGTCCGCCAGGCCCTCCAGCCCTCCCCTGGCGGGGCTTCCATCTCTCTCCCCACGTCCCTGCCCCGCAGCACACAAGCCCCCTGTTGGCCCTCCATCAGCCCTGTTCCCTCTCCCACTCTTGCAGCTCAACTACCTGGTCCCAGCCACCTGCTGTGTCATCATCTTGTTTGTGTTCGACCTGCCAGCCTACACATCAACTACCAATTTCCCAGCCGTACTTTCTCTCTTCCTGCTGTATGGGTAAGGGGTGGGCGTGGGACACAGGCTCTGGTCAGCCCGGGCTGGGACAGCCTACTGACCCATGCCTGCCCCCAGGTGGTCCATCACACCCATCATGTACCCAGCCTCCTTCTGGTTCGAGGTGCCCAGCTCCGCCTATGTCTTCCTCATTGTCATCAATCTCTTCATTGGCATCACGGCCACTGTGGCCACGTTCCTGCTGCAACTCTTCGAGCATGACAAGGTGGCGGGGCGGGGCGGGGGCCGGCGGGGTGGGGTGGGGTGCGTGGGCTGTGAGCAGAGCTGAGGCCCTGACATCCTCTGGCCCTCCAGGACCTGAAGGCTGTCAACAGCTACTTGAAAAGCTGCTTCCTCATCTTCCCCAACTACAACCTGGGCCATGGTCTCATGGAGATGGCCTATAACGAGTACATTAACGAGTACTACGCCAAGATCGGTGTGTGCAGGGCCCTGCAGGGCGGTCGGGGAGGGCGGGCAGTGCCGCTAGGGGAGGAGCCTGGGCAGCTGCAGGGGTCGGGGTGGCTGTGGGGCTCCCACAGGCCCCCAACACAGGCCCTGAGCCCCCTGCCCCACAGGCCAGTTTGACAAGATGAAGTCCCCATTCGAGTGGGACATCGTCACTCGTGGGCTGGTGGCCATGACAGTCGAAGGTTTTGTTGGCTTCTTTCTCACCATCATGTGCCAGTACAACTTCCTGCGGCAGCCACAGTGAGTGCGGGTGGCAGGGGTGGTGACTGGCTGAGCCTAGGGATGTGGCAGGGGGAGGAAGAGAAGTGGTGGCAGGCCAGGCACTGCCCACCGTGTCCTCCCAGGCGCATGCCCGTGTCCACCAAGCCTGTGGAGGATGACGTGGACGTGGCCAGCGAGCGTCAGCGAGTGCTGCGGGGGGATGCGGACAAGGACATGGTCAAGATCGAGAACCTGACCAAGGTGGGCAGAGCCAGTGGCCACACGTGGGGGCGTTGCCGTGGGTCCAGGCGTGGCCTGAAGTGGAGCCTGAGGCTCAGGGTGGGGGTGGGCCCAGGATGTGGAGGTTGGGGGCTGTTGTCCAGCTGAGTCGGCAGGCCCCCTCACTGCCAGGTGTACAAGTCCCGAAAGATCGGCCGCATCCTGGCTGTGGACCGTCTGTGCCTGGGTGTGCGCCCTGGTGAGTGCTTCGGTCTGTTGGGAGTCAACGGCGCAGGCAAGACCAGCACCTTCAAGATGCTCACTGGGGACGAGAGCACGACAGGGGGCGAGGCCTTTGTCAATGGGCACAGGTGCGGGCGCGGCGTGGTGGGGAGAGGGTGGGCAGAGGGGCTGTGGGCGGGGCATGTGGGGGCGTGACAGGGGGTGTGGTGGGGAGAGGGTGGGCAGAGGGGCTGTGGGCGGGGCATGTGGGGGCGTGACAGGGCGTGGCGCAGCGAGGGCGGGCAGAGGGGCTGGGGGCGGGGTGTGTGTGCAGGGCGGAGTGCGGTGGGGCAGGCGTAGGGGCTGGAAGGAGGTTGCTGATTGCCGCCCGCGGTTCCCCAGCGTGCTGAAGGAGCTGCTCCAGGTGCAGCAGAGCCTTGGCTACTGCCCGCAGTTTGATGCCCTGTTTGACGAGCTCACGGCCCGGGAGCACCTGCAGCTGTACACACGGCTACGTGGCATTCCCTGGAAGGACGAGGCGCGGGTGAGGGTCCTGTCTAGGGGCGTGGGTGGGGCTGTGTGGGGAAGGTTCCTGAGCACTGCCCCTCCCCATCCAGGTGGTGAGGTGGGCGCTGGAGAAGCTGGAGCTGACCAAGTACGCCGACAAGCCCGCTGGCACCTACAGCGGGGGCAACAAACGGAAGCTGTCCACGGCCATCGCCCTCATCGGGTATCCGGCCTTCATCTTCCTGGTGAGACCGCGGGCCTGCAGGGCGGCTCGGGTGGGCGAAGGCGTGGAGCCGGCTAAGCGCTGCTCTCTGCCCACCGCAGGATGAGCCCACCACGGGCATGGACCCCAAGGCCCGGCGCTTCCTCTGGAACCTCATCCTGGACCTCATCAAGACGGGGCGCTCGGTGGTACTGACGTCGCACAGGTGCGCCCTCCGCCCACCCTCCCCTCCGCTCCCTGTGCCCCACCCATCCCCTCCGCTCTCCCCCTTCACCCTCCCTACTTTCTCCTTTTCTCTCCTCCCTCCCCCTCGTTCCTCCCCCTCCTCCTGCCACCTCCCCCTCCCCTCTTCGTCCTCCTTCCTCCCACCTGCCTCCTCCCTCCTCTCCCCTGCCTCCCCCTCCCACCTCTCCCAAGAGCCCCTGATAGCAGCCTGTGGCCTCTGTCTGCAGCATGGAGGAGTGTGAGGCCTTGTGCACGCGGCTTGCCATCATGGTGAACGGGCGCCTGCGCTGTCTGGGGAGCATCCAGCACCTGAAGAACAGGTAAGGGGCGTGTGCGTGTGTGTGTGTGTGCGCGCGCGTGTGTGTGTGCGTGCGCGTGTGCGTGCGTGCACGCGCGTGCGTGTGTGTGTCGGGTCACGGGGTGGGGTTCGTGGGCAACCTGGGGCAGTAACACCGCGGCTGCATCCCAGGTTTGGAGACGGCTACATGATCACCGTGCGGACCCAGGTCAGCCAGAGCGTGAAGGACGTGGTGCGATTCTTCCACCGGAACTTCCCGGAGGCGGTGCTCAAGGTGGGCGGGCTTGGTGTGGTGGGGGTGGGGCAGCCTGGCCTGAGCGGCCCTGACCCCACGCACGTGCTTCCAGGAGCGCCACCACACAAAGGTGCAGTACCAGCTGAAGTCCGAGCACATGTCCCTGGCCCAGGTGTTCAGCAAAATGGAGCAGGTGGTGGGCGTGCTGGGCATAGAAGATTACTCCGTCAGCCAGACCACCTTGGACAATGTGCGTGGTGGACCACACCTGCCTGGCCAGCCCACCCACCCATCCACCTGCCTGGCTGGCCCTCTCACCTGCCTGCCCCGCCCACAGGTGTTTGTGAACTTTGCCAAGAAGCAGAGTGACAACCTGGAGCAGCAGGAGTCGGAGCCGCCTTCGGGCCTGCAGTCCCCGCTGGGCCGCCTGCTCAGCCTGTTCCGCTCGAGGAGCACCCCCACTGAGCTCCGGGCCCTTGCGGCAGACGAGCCGGAGGACCTGGACACGGAGGACGAGGGCCTCATCAGCTTTGAGGAGGAGCGGGTGAGGGGCTCGGGGTCAAGAACTGATGGCAGAGCTGGCCAGCTCTCTACAGCTGGAGGGGTCACAGATGACCCACATGGTTGCCAGTGGAGACAAGGGCCCCAGACACAGGCAGAGAGCAAGGCCAGCCACAGACTCCAGATGACATGGGAAGTGACGTGTGCTGGATGGAGCAGGCACAGAGACTGGGGCAGGGTGGGGGGCAGGGGAAGCGGAGGGAACAGGAACCGGGCAGGGATGGAAACACAGAGGCCAGCTGACTCGGCAGGGGGTGGTCCTGGGGGAAACACAGACCCCGAGGGAGGTTGAGCTGGGAGCAGAGCTAAGGAGAGGTCAGGGGTAAAGGCCAGGGTTAAGGTCTAAGGTATGGGCATTGGGGGTCCCAGACCCAGGGTCTAAGCTGAGGGTCTTCAGCTAGGAGGACGCCACCTGAGCTCGGCCCATGTACTCTCCCCAGGCCCAGCTATCTTTCAACACGGACACGCTTTGCTGACCCCCGGGAGCTGGATCCGGAACATGGCTGTGGACAGAGTCGGGGGTTGGCCAAAGCCTCCGGTGCCCCCAGTGCTCTCCTGCCAGGCCTTGCAGTGGGAGTGCAGGACCTGAAGACTTCGGCCCCCCAGCCCGCTGCCCACCCTGCCTGCCCGTGGTCACTGTGGCCGCCCGCCCCTGATTGTGCCAAAGGCCGGCCCGGCCTGCCCACTGGGCTGTGCACACCCTCACCCTGCTTTGCCTTAAAGCCTTGGGGTCTGGTCCGGCCTCCTGGCTCTGCTTCTGCCCAGCTCTGCTCACCACCCACAGTGGCCAGGCCGGGCCACCCAGTCTACACCAGGCCCCATGGCCCTGTCCTGCAGGGGTCCTTAGCCTGGCCTGGCCCTGACCGGGCTTCCTCCTACCCTGACCTGGGGCCTCAGGTGGGGTACCTGGCAGGCAGTTCACTATTTATTTTGCTTTGGGAAGAGGCTCCTTCTCTGGCTGTCCTGCTTGCGGTCAGTGCCCCCTGGGACTGTTGACGTGGGCAGGGAAGGGGCTGCCTGGGCGGCAGGGGGGAGGAGGAATGAGCTGTTGGTACTGGGGGCCAGGTGGTACTGGGGGCCACGTGGGCCAGGTGGGCCAGGTGAGAGGGCCCCCTCCCCTCCAGCTGCCATCACCCCTCCCCCTGGCTTGGCCCTGCCATCTGCACTCAGAGCAGGGCCTGTACATAACGCACAGAAGTTTGTTTTCAATAAAAAACCAAAAGTGAGACCTGCCGAGTGCTGTGTGCACATGCAGAGATGGCCACTGCTGGGTCGAAGCCCCCACCAGGCCACTTCCAGAAGGTGCAGGTGATGTAGGGTCAGAACCTGGGCCAGGGCCCAGAGCTGGGGCACAGTGGGTCACCTCCAATGGCCTGCTGCTACAGGTGGGGAGACTGAGGCAGGAGCCACTTACCCTGCCCCCTCCTGTCCACCACAAGAACAGCAGGAGCCAGGGCATGTCCAAGTGGGGGGTCACAGGGGGGGCTACCCCCATGCCACTCACCAAGGCTGGGCAGCCCACCTCATGCCTGAGCTCTGCTGGCCCGGTGCCCTCCTGGTCCCTAGGGTGCCCACTCTGAGATGTCCCTGAAGGGTCTGTGCCCCGATGTCGAGCCTCCTCACCCAGCCCCTGGGCCTGGTGTCCATGTGAGGATGTGTGCTGGGCTGTCTCTGACTCGGGCTGGTGGTGGATGTGGGAGCACTTTCAGGAGGGGGGTGGTTTCTAGTTGAGATTGAAGTTGGAGGAAGAGGCCTCAAGGGACACGTGACAATAGACACAGAGGTTGGAGCAATGGTGCCCCCAGACCAGGAACAAGGCCAAGGATTGTCGGCAGCCAGAGAAGCTGAAGGAGATGGGAGAGCCCCGGTTGACAGTGCGGCCCTGCCAATGTCGGAATTTGGGATTCTGCCTCCAGAACCTGTCGTTTTAGGTCCCCGGTTTGTGGTACCTTGTTCCCAAAAAGCCAAACCCATTGCTTTGGAGTTGGTTCCAACTCACAGTGCCCCTAGAGGACAGCGTGGAACTGCCCCACAGTTTCCAGGGTTGTCAATCATCCCAGAAGCAGACTGCCTCATCTTTCTCCCGTGGAGTGGCTGGAAGTGCAAACCACCAGCTTTTTGGTTAGCAGCCGAGAGTTTAATCACTGCACCAACAGCTGCACTTTGTTGTATCGTCCCTGGGAAACTAACACAGACACTTGGGGGACTGGAAGGGCCATGGAAGGGTCGACTCAGGCAGGCCGGCTCCACATGGGTTGTGGGCATTGGGAAGGGCCAGAGAGAGGGTGGGAAGGGTGTTGTGGGACTCACAGGCCAGGCTGACTGAGGTGGGCTGGGGCAATGGGTCCCATTTGGGCCACCTGATTTTGGTTCCTGCATGATGTTCAACATGGCCACCTGAAGGGCAGCTGGACAGGCATTGTGGAGCCTGAGACTTGGGTCCAGAGGGTGATGCTAGGAGTCACTGGGGGGCAAGCCCCAGGAGGGTGCTGAGTGCACTAAGGACCGTGAGGTTCCCGTCAGCCCGTGAGGGGCTGGTGGAGGTTTGATGGTCAGCCCTCTAGGGGCTGGGCCTCAGTCCTGCAACCACAGGAGCCGAATCTTTCCGGGAAGATGATCCCGAGGACTGGAATGGACCACAGCCTGGCCAACACTCAGTTTGTACCCCGAAGACTCTAAGGAGCTCGACGGTGCGGGACCCCTGACGCAGAGACTGTGACATAAAGGGGTGTGCTGCTCTAAGTGGCTTTCAGTGCGGGGAGGAGGGAATGAGAACACCTAGCCCAGCGTTTCATTAAAAAACTCAGCCCGACCTGCCGACAAGTGGGCCCTTCACTCAATTCACCTGCTGTTACAGTTCGGCCCTGCAGGACCCTAGCCTCACTCTACCTTTTTTGTTGTGCTGACCCACTGGAAAGGAAGAGCGGACACATGACCCTTCAGCCCAGAGCCTCCTGTTGTCTCTGAAGAGCAAGGACGCCCCCAAGTCTACCAAGGACACAGAACTATTCCCTAGTAAGCCACCAGACTCCGCTCTCCCCAGCTGTGCCCAGCTGTCCGTTGTAGCTTTTGTCTTTTTAAAGCCCGGGCTCCAGGCTGAAACCACTCGCCCTGTGTTCCTGTCTTGACCATGCGTTTCTTCTTAAACAACATCGCACATTGTCTGAAATATGGGTTTTTATTTTTTACCAGTTGTGATGTTTGAATCCGTTAAAGTTTAAAGATCAGTAAGCAGTGCTGGGGCGGAAACAAAGGCCCGTACTCGCTCTGATGGCGAACCAGCCCTCGGATGCACTCTGGCAACGCCCACCCAAGGAGCACACTGATGTGGTTACGGGCTCTTTGTCAGAACAAACAGGAAACCACAGGAAATCACGACCAGTCAGGGGCTGGAGAAGTGCATCGTGGGACACAAACCAGGCACAGCCTGTCAGCCATACATACTGGTTTAGGAAAAAGCCCCTATCACACAGTGTCCATGGAAGGTGTGACATGAAGACCGAGTATTGTCTGATGACTTGTGTATGTTTCAGTAGATGCATTTACACAGCTACATGGGCATCCTATCCTTTTTGTCGCCGGTGACCTGAATGTGCGTGACGGTCCAGACCAGTCTCAATGGTTAGATGCAGGGCGGACCCCCGGTGATTTTGGGCTGCCTTCCCCACCACACCAGGTCAGAGGCTTGACATGCTGGTTGGTCTCATCACTAGCCATGCTCACAGGGACCACGTGGTTGGGACAGTGGCTGCCACATGTCTCTGCTTTGAGGGCACCTTTCCTGGTTAGCAACATTTCAGCCATCTGCTGAGGCTTTGAGGGCACAGAAATGCCCTGTCCCCAATGCCCTTTCCCACTGATTTTCACTCCCACTGGTGAGTACTACAGGGAGCCCCATTGGCACAGTGGTTAAAGTGCTCAGCTGCTGACCAAAAGGTCAGTTGTTCAGCCCACCAGCTGCTCTGTGGGAGAAAGATGTGGCAAGCTGCTTCCGTAAAGATTTGCAGCCTTGGAGATCCTACACACTTCTGCTCTGTCCTCAGGGGGCGCTGTGAGTCGGCATCAACTTGACGGCAGTGGGTTTGCTTTGGGCTTTGCTTGTATAAAGATAACATTCTTGGAAACCCTCTGGGGCCGTTCTGCTCTGTCCTCTAGGGGATCTGTGACTCAGAATTGACTTGATAGCAGCGGGTTTGCTTTGGGCTTTGCTTCCATAAAGATGCCAGCCTTGGAGACCCTCTGGTGCAGTTCCTCTCTGTCCTCTGGGGGTGCTGTGAGTTAGCATGGACTTAGTGACAGTGGGTTTGCTTCTACACCAGTGGCTGCAAAGTGGTCAATTTATGCTTATTTCCTCTTCCTGTACCTATCAGCTGGCATCATCATCTCATAAGTTCCTCCCCTTGTAAGAAACGACAGCCATGCATGCC